AAGCCAATTATTATATAGACTTATTATTGAATTATTCAATATTTTAATTATAGACCTCCAACTACAAGCCTTGAAGGAGGTGAACACTGGGAGATTGGATTTGTTATATCAAAGGTATTTATTTCACTTCTAAAAATCAAAATGTATGTGTAATTCAAATATGTTTATAATGTCAAATATATATGTCAAATTCAAATTGATTGCCTCAAGTGTTTATACATGCAGTTTCAAGTTCATATATTAAGTTGAGGAGGTAAGCCTTTCCTTTGCTTTTTCTCTTATGTGTAGATGTGTAATTTAGTACTTTCCAATATATGCATGCAACTTGTAAATTAATATTCTTAGTGTAGATGCACTAAAACTCTCTGTAATACACTGTATATCTGTATGCTTTGCTTGCTTGATGTGTGTGCCTTAGTCCTGGAATGCAATAAAACAACTTGTACTAATTAAAATATGGGAGATAATTATCAATTTATTTTAAATTCAAATTGACATTAACATTAAATAAATTAAATTATACAACTGCTCGTTGCATTCTCATTCAGTTTGACTAAATACATGTATAATTTGAGCAAGATTAATTACAAAACTTTTCTGTTTTTAGGTCACAGGTGACCTATTGCTATCCGTTTTCATCCGTCGTCGTCCGTCGTGCGTTAACATTTGAACATTTTCAGCTTCTTCTCTAAAACCGCTGAACCAATTTCAACCAATTTTGGCATATATAGCATCTATGGGTGAAGGGCAACAAAATTTGTGAATTTCATGGTCCCTGCCCCCCTGTGGCCTGGGGCCAAAACCACTAAAATAAGTGCAATCTTTAAAAATCTTGCCAAAACCTTAGTAATTAATGCGCTCTTTAAAAATCTTCTTCTTTACTCCCGGACATCACGCAGTCCAACTGTTGGCATGAATGTAATGAGCATTAAGTCCTCTACCAAAATTGTGAAATTCATGGCCCCAGGGTCAGGGGTTCTAGTGCTATGGCGGGCTGTATAGATTATATAGTGAAAATGCATTACTTCTTTGAAAATCTTCTCTGCTACTGGGTATTAAATAAACTAACTACATAGTTACAACGAGCAAGAGTACCTCAACCGAAATTGTGAGTTTTATGGCCCCAGGGTCAGTGGTTCTTGTGTTAGGGCGGGGCTCAATTGATTATATAGTCATAATAGTGAAAATACTTGAATTCTTTGAAAATCTTCTTCTCTGCTCCTGGGTATTAAATAAACTAACTAAGTACATAGTTATGATGAGCAAAAGTGCCTCTTCCAAAATTGTGAATTTCATGGCCCCTGGGTCAGGGGTTTTGCCATTTGGTGTGAGGGGGGGGGGGGGGGCTCTAATGATTATATAGTGAAAATATATTAATTATTTAAAAATCTTTTTCTTTGCTCCTGGGTATTATGCCAATGATCTAAGTACATATATTTATGACGAAGAAAAGTGCATTTAGCCAAATGGTTTATTTCATGCCCCCTGGGTCAGGGGTAATGGGGGTGGGGGGATTACATAGTCTGAAAATAAATTAATGCTTTGAAATCTGCTCTTTGGTAATAATCAACCATTCACATGTATGATGAAATAAAATTTATGATAAAATTTCCAAAAATTTGAAATATGTGGCCCCAGTGTCAGTGATTCCTGTGGGGTGGGGTGTACAACTGGTTATAAAGTGGGAGAGCATTTTCTCTTTGTTACTCTGATCTACCTCTCGGTATTAAGTAACTAGAGTAAGAATGCTAAGTGTATAATTATGATTATAAAAGCAATGGTGCCTCTTTCAAAATTGTGCATTTTATGGCCTCTGGTTTAAAACACAAACCAAATTTAACTGTTGGAAAGTTATTACATGATACTCAGGTGACCTATAAGCTTAGCCCATGGGCCTCTTGTTCAAATTGCTATATCCTTAAATTTTGGTCTGATTTCAATATAACTTGGCATTAATGTAGACTTCAAGTAGATATCTATCGGTGAATCAAAGGACAAGGTCAAGTGTCACTATCACCATGGTAATATACAAATGCCATAGTGCCAAGCAATAAATGCGCTAAAATATCATGTCCATATCTCTTACGGTTCTTCAAGGTGTGACAGACGCCGGGTAAATTGATAGTGTCGCTCTGCTCCGCAGGCGACACGAGCTATATTATTGACTAATACAAAGAAGTTGGGGAAACAAGAATATCGGCAGTCTCTTTCAAAGCAATGTTTGTTCCATCTACGACAAGTATACGGAAAACTGGTTGCCAAAGGAAAGCTCAGAATAAAACTATCCTTCAGAGCAATTCTTTAAATTGACAATAGGTTTGGTGAAATATATGGCGATAACAAAGAATATTCAATTTCAGTCATATCGCTGATGTCATTCAAAGCTACGACAGACATTTGAGATGGAGATCTTCAAAATACATCTCGACTGGATTTCCAACACTTCTTCAATATTCCGTAACCTTCTCTTTCAAGTTCATCTGAAAATATATATTAGCATTTGCATAAACATTGACAATTAAAATATTTATTTACAAATTAATAAAACTCTTACCTTTCAAATACTTTCTCAAAAGGCTGCCTTTTAATGGACCTTTGAGATGTTTTGGCAGATCTCTAACGGAATAACTGGACCACGACTGGTTACAATTGCCTACACAACCCTTCTCTTGAATGTTGGATCTTCTTTACATTGAATGAATCGTTTCTCTACATACTATTCAGTCTTAAATAATTTTCAACACCAGTACAATGTTCGCTCCCGTTTAATTTTTGCCCCTTTGATAAAAGTTTGACTAGACGAATTTAAAACTGGGCAAAAGTGTGAAGGGCGAGAATAACACAGTGCTAAAATAACCCTATTAACAGTTTTTTTTTCTGTATACTGTAATTAAAAAAAAATCTTTTATCAGGTTTTCAATGATAATTAAACTTCATAGTAATTTATATCTAAAACTTTTCAAAGAAAATAAAAGCAAAACTAGAGGTACTGTGAGCAATGAGCTCACTAAATAATACCCCCCGCCTCCCATATGAATATAATGGCAGTATCCATGTTTTGCTCTGGAAAATTCAAAATATATATGTCAGATCAAAAAGTAAAATAGGAGGTGCACAATGGCAATATGTAATCAAGATTCTGTGAAAGTTTCATTAAATTTCCTTCATTGGGATGAGAGGAGTTGCGGATAAGAGAAGGGTACCCCAAAGCGTAACAGACGGACGGACGGACAGACAGACGTACAGACGGACGGAATTTACGTTTACTATATACCCTCCCGCTTTCAAGCGGGGGGTATAATAATATTAAGTGAAAATATTAACTGAACAAAAGCTGAGTTTTGTTGTGCCAAAACGCAGTACAACTTCTGTGCTCTGTTAAGATAATCCACTGTAATTTTGCAATCTGGCACATTATCTGAATTAATTAATTATGATATGATCTTATATAATGGCTAGTAACTTGCAGTAACACGGTCAGTCTTTTTATTTGTTGTGTGTCCTTACTTGTTGTAATGCACAGGTTTCTTGTGTTGAAGGAACTCCATTATATTCTTTGTTTTCATGATCATACTTTTAAAAAGAAATTAACATCAACAATAATTGTAAATGTTATCAATTTATTTTTAGGTCACCTTAGTAAACTCAGGTGACCTATTGCTATCCGTTTTCGTCCGTCGTCGTGCGTCGTCCGTCGTGTGTTAACATTTGAACATTTTCAGCTTCTTCTCTGCAACCACTGAACCAATTTCAACCAAATTTGACACAAAGCATCTATGGGTGAAGGGGAACAAAAATTGTGAATTTCATGATCCCTGCCCCCCTGGGGCCTGACGGGTGGGGCCAAAACCACTAAAATTAATGCAGTCTTTAAAAATCTTCTTCTTTACTCCCGGACATCAAGCAGTCAAACTGTTTGCATGATTGTAATCAGCAATGAGTCCTCTACCAAAATTGTGAAATTCATGGCCCTGGGGTCAGGGGTTCTAGTGCTAGGGCGGGGCTAAATAAGTAGGTAGTGAAAATGCATTATTTCTTTGAAAATCTTCTTCTCTGCTCCTGGGTATTAAATAAACCATTTATAAAAACAAAATTTGATTCCGTTTAACTTCTTTATTTGCCTTTTGAGAACTACTCAGCTACACACATCATCAATGTCAAACATATATGTACAAATAATGCATACATAGTGAAAATTGGCAAAAGATAAATCAATGAGTGGCCGATGGCCTCATGTGGTTGGCCGATGGCCGTATGTGGTTGGCCGATGGCCTTGTATGGATGGCCGATGGCCTTGTATGGTTGGCCGATGGCCATGTATGGGCGGCCGATGGCCTTGTGTGTCTGCATGGCCGATGGCCTGTGAGTCTGCATGGCCGATGGCCTTGTAGAAGTAAACATGTACTATGTATGCTGAAAAATGCAATTTCTTTGGGGTAGAATAACACATGATATATAAAATATTCAGGTGTGAAATGCCCAAAACGAAGGTAGCACAAACAGAAAATTGATGTGTTTGGGATAGCTGAGAGTCCCCAAAAGAAATTGAACCACCACCATCCTTAATCTAATAACTCATCTAATACGAGAGATAATATAACATGTTCAAAGTATACCAATTTAGTAAACATTCAAATTAATTAATAGAATAGTAATGACATATTATGCTTAGTTGAACATTTTATACAAGCAGTTCTTAGTTACATTTAGTTTATGATGTAACAATAATATTCTTAAGTATCTACTACTTCTTGAATTCTTAGTTGAAAAGTTATCAAACAAAATTTTAACGAAAATTTGAGGTTAATAGGTCAAACGAATATACAAACTACCCATATTATCACAAGTATTAGCAATAGTGAATTTATACAGCAATTCATGGTCCGATATGTCTTAGCAATAAGTAATATGGCTAGTTTTATTTACATACAGTCATTTATAGTATGTTGCATAATTAGGAATTGGACAGATACAAATGTTACGTAGTGGATAAACACTGCAATTGAAGTAACACATCCTTAGGAATCACAGAAACATTTCTTTCACACTTGACTCTTTCACAATTGACTTGGATTTCACTGCTATTTTTCACTATGAAACATGATCGTATCCTAGAACACACACATTTTCTTTCAAGGCCATTTTGAATTGCACTAGCTATAATAATTTTTCACTGAATCACTTGTTGCACATTGCCTGTTGAGCACGGGAAAATGTGTCGTCGTCAGTACGAATGTATCGGTTGTAGCAGTCGGACCTCCATCGTCCCAATGTTTTAATCATGTGATCCTCCACGTTACCGGATGGTGCGGATGTTGCTGCCCCAATTCTGAAGGAATGCCCATTGTACTTTTCATCCTTGTATCCTAGCGAGTGAAGTAATTGTTTAAGTTTACTGACGAAGGAGTTTCTCGTTAGTGGAGTTCCGCATTCCTCAATGAAAAGTGCAAGGGATTCTCTGCCATTAGTCCAGGTTTTGCGAATCTTGAGATATTCCACCATTGAGTTGACGGGGCAAACGACATTACCAGATTTGAAGATCCTGATACTAATTCCTTGACGAAAAGGATCTGTTTTTGAGCTCTTTAGCACTAAGGTAAAAGCATTCACTTTGTTTTCATGAGAATCCATCGTAATGTCTGTTAAAGATAACATGTTGTCCTGGTTACCATTCTGAATAGTGAATTCCCCACATCTTAGGAAGGCGAAAAATGCTAATGAGCAGGCGGACATAAGCATAGTGTCTATGAATTTGCCAAATCTGCCTTGTTTCAGGATGCTGTATAGTTGACATAGTATATTGTAGGTTATGGGTCTTCTTTTCTCTCTTGTATTGCTTTGTTTCTTTATTCCTCTTAAAACAGTATGTAGTCTGGGGCATGTTTCGTTCATAGTGGACCATGGACAATGGACGCCGGCTTTCACATAGAAGAATCTCACAGCTGCTAGGTATAACTTGATGGTATTGATAGACAGTCTTAAAGTCTTAAAGCAATGTGTCACGAAATAGATAAGGGTTTGTTCTGTAATTGGTGTTGGTTTAAAGTCATCAGCTCTAATCCCAATGGACGGTAAAAAATTACAGAAAGTCCTAAAACCTGTTATGTAGGCATTTCTTGTGTTTTCACTGATGGAAGAATCACACAATCTATTTGCTTGATCCTCTAGTACAAAACGAGTTCTTGTAGTGATGGAATGTTCACTGGGTCTTTTGATGCTGTTGGTGCTGCTTCTCTGAATCGGGCCATCTGGAAACGAGAAAGAGAGTCAGCTATCACATTTTCTTTACCAGGGACATGATCACATAGAATAAGGAAGTTTTCGCATGCTGACTTCCAAGTTAATTTTCTCATAAGCTTCATTATAATAGCAGATTTTGAACGACGTTTTCTAATTATCTGAACAGTAGCTAAATTGTCACAGAAAAATTTTATCCGTTTTCCAGACCATTCGTGTCCCCATAGGACCACTGCTACTACTATGGGGTACAATTCTAAAAGTGCCATAGAAATAGGATCATTTCCCAGATTGTGAATTTCTTCTGGCCATTTTCCTTGAAACCACCGCCCGGCATAATACCCGCCAAAGCCATGGTTTGATGAAGCATCCGTAAATAACGAAATGTCGGTTGTGTCTGTCACATATTCCTCCAGGAAAAATGACTTTCCGTTCCATCCTTGTAAAAATTTCTCCCACATTGCCAAGTCTTTTCTGCATTCGCTTGTCAAATACACATGATAATGGAGTTCCGACACAGAGTGAGCTAATGTAAGTAGGTAAGATGTGAATGATCTGCCAGCTGGAATTACTCGAGCTGCAAAGTTAAAATGACCCAAGACACTTAACAGCTCACGTTTAGTACATGATTTCTTTACTCTAAGGTTATTAATAAGAGTCAAAATTCTGTCGACTTTCTCCAGGGGGATACGGCTCTCCATAATTTTAGAATCGAGTATAATTCCCAGGTATTCAATCACTGTGTCCGGACCTACTGTTTTCTTTTCCGAAATTGGGATTCCGAGCTTTTTGAACACCATAGTCAAAACTGCCATACTCCTCAGTCCGCCTTCGCCCGGGGGGTCAAATGTAATGAAATCGTCAAGTAAATGAAGGATATTTCTTACATCGTAGTTATTCTGGATTATCCAACAGATGGCTTGGGAAAGCATGTCAAAAATTTTGGGACCACTCCTGCAACCAAAAACTAGTCTCTTGTAGAAGAAGTATTTCTCCTTCCATTTAATTCCGTAGTAGGGTTGCACATCTTTTGCTATAGGGATTAGTTTAAATGCGTCCACTATATCCGTTTTGCACATGAGAGAATCACTACCAAGTGTCTTTAAAATAGTAATTGTGTCATCGATACGCACATACTGCAATGAATATTCATCTTTATCAATGAGCTCGTTAATGCTTGTTTCAGATGATTGGTTGTGAGGGGAGGATAAATCAACGATTAGTCTATATTTCTTGGAGTATTTTCCTTGAGAAATTCCAATGGGGCTAATTCTGTATACGGAATATGGTGATACATCGTATGGACCATCCAAGTATCCTTTCTCCATTTCATATTTTATCAGCTTGTCGACAATTTCAGGTTGTTTTCTAGCTGACAGCAAATTTTTGCACTCTAATGTAGATTTAGGTAATGATGATATTCCAGTGGTAAAACCTCTCTCAAGTCCATATATTAATGCGTCAACAAACGTCCTGTCTGGATGCCTTTTTAGTTCTGTTTTTAGTAAATGAGTATTTATTGGAGTAATTGATGCCGTTTCACATTGTCTATCTTCGGTCACTTTAGAAGATAGTCATTGTTTGTCAGTTTGAGTGTGGTCCTTTGATTTGTTCTTGGTTTTTGTGCAATTGGAAGCAGAGTGGTTGTTTAACTTGCATTCTGAACATATGTGAAGAAGATTGCAAGAATTCCTTTGGCATGCACCCGTTTGATCCATTGTAGTTATTACATATTTCTTTCCCCTTATATGAGATTCTTGGTCTTCCCTGAACATCTACGTTACTATGAGTTGGTTTTATCTTGCTGTTTGGGTTTCCAGCGTAAGGTGTAGGTCCGCTCTTTGACTTGGGACAGAAGTGTGAGGCATGGGTCACGCTACTACAGAACTCGCATCTGATTACGGTTTGACCAGAAAATATTGTGGTGTATAATTTAGTGTCTCTTATGGACCAGTCAATGTTGATGTTTCTCTGTAGTAATAGTGCGCTTGCACGTGCTGAGAAAGCCTTATGATACTCATAAAAGGCTGCTCCTCTTGTGGTAGAAGCCATTTCCACAATGTCCCGTTCGTAAGCGTCTAATTCTTGACGCCTTGCGGGATACACCTCACATATTATGTTCTTGTATTTTGTAAAGGCTATTATGAACTCATTAAGGGTTAGGTTTCTCAGTAGTCTTGTGTCGTGAGATTGTTTCAATAATATGTAACGACCATCGCTGTCGGTTACATGATTTTCTTCTGTCTCTCGTGGCATAATAAGTAATGCTAAATTAACATCTTTACCTTGTAGAATGTTGCTTCTAATTGTCGAAGAAATCGTTTCCACACAGGGGACTGAGTCTGAGGAAACTCTGGTCGGTACATCCTGGGGCGTGTTACGCGGAGAGTTATCAAAGTTTCTCCCGATGTAGTCTGTAGAGGTCCCAGGCTCATTGGATTTGTTTTGATTCTTCTTCAGTTCGTCCACTTCGTTTGTCAACTTCGTAACTGAATCTTTTATGTCTCGAATTGCCTCAATCAATTCGCTGGAATACGACATCCGCCCAGCCTCGTTTCCATTAGCTGCTGATGAAGATGCCGGAAGTGTCTTTTCTACCACTTCCCCTGCGCCATTTTGAATATGTATAACTTCGACATTGTCTGTTTCGCTACTTGTAGCCGATTTTTTAGGTCACCTGAGTAAACTCAGGTGACCTATTGCTATCTGTTTTCGTCCGTCGTCGTTCGTCGTACGTCGTACGTCGTTCGTAAACTTTTGAACATTTTCAGCTTCTTCTCTGCAACCACTGAACCAATTAAAACCAAATTTGGCACAAAGCATCTATGGGTGGAGGGGAACAAAAATTGTGAATTTCATGATCCCTGCCCCCCTGGGGCCTGAGGGGTGGGGCCAAAACCACTAAAATTAATACAATCTTTGAAAATCTTCTTCTTTACTCCTGGACATCAAGCAGTCAAACTGTTTGCATGACTGTAATCAGCATTGAGTCCTCTACCAAAATTGTGAAATTCATGGCCCTGGGATCAGGGGTTCTAGTGCTAGGGCAGGGCTAAATAAGTAGGTAGTGATAATGCATTATTTCTTTGAAAATCTTCTTCTCTGCTCCTGGATATTAAATAAACCAACTAAGTAGTTAGTTATGATGAGCAAGAGTGCTTCTACCAAAATTGTGAATTTTATGGTCCCAGGGTCAGAGGTTCTGGTGTTAGGGCGGGGCTCTATTGATTATATACAGTGAAAATACATGATTTCTTTGAAAATCTTCTTCTCTGCTCCTAGGTATTAAATAAACTAACGAAGTGCATAGTTAAGATGAGCAAGAGTGCTTTTACCAAAATTGTGAATTTTATGGCCCCAGGGTCAGGGGTTTTGGTAGGGGGGGGAGGGCTTTATAGATTATATAGTAAAAATACATAAATTCTTTGAAAATCTTCTTCTCTGCTCCTAGATATTAAATAAATTAACTAAGTGCATTGTTATGATGAGCATGAGTGCCTCTATCAAAATTGTGAATTTTATGGCCCCAGGGTCAAGGGTTCTGGAAGTGGTGGGGGGGCCTCTATAGATTATATAGTAAAAATATATGAATTCTTTGAAAATCTTCTTCTCTGCTCCTAGATATAAATAAATTAACTAAGTGCATAGTTATGATGAGCATTAGTGCCTCTACCAAAATTGTGAATTTTATGGCCCCAGGGCCAAGAGTTCTGGTGTTAGGGGGGGGGGGCTCTATTGATTATATAGTGAAAATACACAAATTCTTTGAAAATCTCCTTCTATGCTCCTAGGTATTAAATAAACTAACTAAGTGCATAGTTATTATGAGCAAGAGTGCCTCTACCAAAATTGTGAATAATTTTATGGTCCCTGGGTCAAGGCTTCTGGTGGGGGTGGGGGGGGGGGTCTCTATAGATTATATTGTAAAAATACATGAATTCTTTGAAAATCTTCTTCTCTACTCCTAGGTATTAAATAAACCAACGAAGTGCATAGTTAAGATGAGCAAGAGTGCTTTTACCAAAATTGTGAATAATTTTATGGTCCCTGGGTCAAGGCTTCTGGTGGGGGGGGGGGGGCTCTATAGATTATATTGTAAAAATACATGAATTCTTTGAAAATCTTCTTCTCTGCACCTAGGTATTAAATAAACTAACGAAGTGCATAGTTAAGATGAGCAAGAGTGCTTTTACCAAAATTGTGAATTTTATGGTCCCAGGGTCAGGGGTTCTGGTGTTAGGGTGGGGCTCTATTGATTATGTAGTAAAAATACATAAATTCTTTGAAATCTTCTTCTCTGCTCCTAGGTATTAAATAAACTAACTAAGTACATAGTAATGATGAGCAAGAGTGCCTCTACCAACATGACCAAAATGTGAATTTTATGGTCCCAGGGTCAGGGGTTCTGGTGTGTGTGTGTGGGGGGGGGGGGGGGGCTCTATTGATTATATAGTGAAAATACACAAATTCTTTGAAAATCTCCTTCTATGCTCCTAGGTATTAAATAAACTAACTAAGTGCATAGTTATGATGAGAAAGAGTGCCTCTACCAAAATTGTGAATAATTTTATGGTCCCTAGGTCAAGGCTTCTGGTGGTGGGGGGGGGGGGGGGGGCTCTATAGATTATATTGTAAAAATATATGAATTCTTTGAAAATCTTCTTCTCTGCTCCTAGGTATTAAATAAACTAACGAAGTGCATAGTTTAGTTGAGCAAGAGTGCTTTTACCAAAATTGTGAATAATTTTATGGTCCCTGGGTCAAGGCTTCTGGTGTGGGGGGGGGGGGGCTCTATAGATTATATTGTAAAAATACATGAATTCTTTGAAAATCTTCTTCTCTGCTCCTAGGTATTAAATAAACTAACGAAGTGCATAGTTAAGATGAGCAAGAGTGCTTTTACCAAAATTGTGAATTTTATGGTCCCAGGGTCAGGGGTTCTGGTGTTAGGGTGGGGCTCTATTGATTATGTAGTAAAAATACATAAATTCTTTGAAATCTTCTTCTCTGCTCCTAGGTATTAAATAAACTAAGTACATAGTAATGATGAGCAAGAGTGCCTCTACCAAAATGTGAATTTTATGGTCCCAGGGTCAGGAGTTCTGGTGTGTGTGTGTGGGGGGGGGGGGGGGGGCTCTATTGATTATATAGTGAATATACATTAAAACTTTGAAAATTTTCTTCTCTGTCTCTGGGTATGAAGCAGATGAACTACCTAAATAGTTATGATGAGCAAGGGCCCTAATCTTGCAAAATTTTGAATTTCAAGGCCCCAGGGTCAGGGGTTGGGGTGGGGCTCTACTTATATACTGAAAATGAATTAATTGTTTGAAATCTGCTCCTTTGTATTTATAAAACATTTATTTATTTTTTGATAGGCAATTTTAACGGTGCCTTTTTAAAAATTTGTGCAATGTGTGGACCTAGGGTCAGGGATTTATTTCACAGTGTTAGGGGCATTACTGATTATTGCTGAAAATAACTGATTAGTTGGAATGCATTTTTTCCCCTACCTTGCGTATGGGTATTCAGTACCCCTGCAAGGTGATCATGAATAATTCATGAATTACCTTGAATTTTTCATGAATTTTAATCATGAAATGTTCATGAAACGTTCATGAAGATCCTATGAACTTATTATTGGGCATATTTAAATCAATAAACCAAGCTTAGCAACTGCTAAGTGTATTGTTATGATGATCAATGGTGCCTCTTTCAAAAATTGTGAATGCTATATAGCATCTGGCTTAAAACAGAAATCAAATTCAATAACTGGAAAGTTGTTGCAGAATGCTCAGGTGACCTATAAGGCCCGTGGGCCTCTTGTCTTTAGATAAAACGTTGTCCCGGTAGATTTGTACCAATTGGGACTTTTTCAGGGACACTGGCACCACGATTCCTTTTGATCTCAACTTTTGTAGAATTTCTGTGGACGTCCAGTTTTCTGGTTCACTATTGTCCCATCGCGTGACTTCCGTCTCTGAGGGTCCTGTCGATGTTTCGGATCGTTTTCTTTTCCTTCCATGCAGGCATCTTTCAGTAAGAAATCTTAAACAATCAGTACATATATCACTTCTCAGAGTTCACGCATTTAGGTCACAGTATCCGATAGAAGAAATTAATAGTCCGTGTCCATATAAAGAGATACACGTGAAACTACACGTGGTAAGAAGGTAGTAACAATCCACAAACAGGGAATTATTATCACTGTCAGCGTTTAAAATGAGATTATAATAAATAAATCCGTAGGATTTACTTGAGAATTTGCAGGAACCGTGCGAGAAAGACAAAGCCAAACTTGAGGAGTAATTTGATTGGCTGTTACAATCACGTGACCGTTGTATACTAAGTGCTGGAAATTGATATCTAATTTATATAAACTATATTTAATTACATTAAAATTATACTAAGTACATAGTTATGATGAGCAAGAGTGCCTCTACCAAAATTGTGAATTTTATGACACCAGGGACCCACTCGATTGGGACCCTTCTAGAAGCAGAAGGGAATGTCAGAAGGGTTGGAAGATATATGTCTCAATCGAGTGTTCAGATGGGTATAGGATATGGCTGAATGTAATAAGTTGCTATGTTCTGCAATTACTGCAGCTGTGTCTGTTTTAGAACTTGAATCCCTTAAATCATTAAATGTCAGGTCTAAAAGGCGAAGAGATGACTTTGTTTTTCTTGCATGCGTTGCAAGCTCAGCTGTGTAAGTACACTGATTATTATAATAATTTTTAAAATTAAATCCTAAATACTAAGAGTGTAGAATATACATATTGAAGAACATTCAACTGAAAAAATATTATTGTATTATTAAAAAAGTTAGTCATGAAAATATTATATATTTTCAATTTATTATAAGGGTTTTATGCTTATTTTTGCAGAGTAAGAGATGATATTAGCAAAATAGATGGTTATGTCGAAAGAATTATTCCAGGGTATTTGCCTGAACAGTTTAAAAGACATTTCAGATTATCAAGGGAGACATTTGAATGTATTTTGAATCATTTGGCAAATTTTCCAACTCTACAAAGGAGACAGCAGACAGGCGGAAGGTTACAAACAACTCTAGAAAAAGACCTCATGATGCTGCTTTGGTACTTAGGTACGCAGGAAACTGTTCGGTCGATCTCGGATAGATTTGATGTGCAAGATTCCACATTGATACTTCATAATAGAAGACTCATAGATGTGTTTAGTGATTTGTGCAAGAAATTTATTAAAGTGGCCAAACAATGAAGAAAAACAAGAAATTATGTCAGAATTTGAGGATTTCAGTGGGTTTCCGAGAGTCATTGGGGCAATTGATGGAACTCACATATCCATTACACCGCCAGGTGAAAATGAGGCCGATTATGTGAATCGAAAAAGTTTTCATTCAATTATCCTAAAAGCTGTTTGTCGACACGACCGACTATTTATAGATATTAACTGTGGATGGCCTGGGCGTGTCAATGATGCCAGGGTCTTCAGGAACTCTGAAGTTTGTCAACACCAGGCACAGCTATGTGGACCACATCATCTTGTAGGAGATGGAGCATACCCACTCTCATCATACTTGATGAAACCATACCGGGAAAGTCAGAATATGACAGCAGCTGAAAAGATTTTCAACAAAACACTTTGCAGAGCCAGGGCCATCATTGAACATGCTTTTGGTGTATTAAAAGGAAGATTTAGGCGCCTGCAACACATTAACATGGTTGATATAGAATACATTATGAAAACTGTTGTTGCCGCATGTGTGTTGCATAATATTTGTATCATCAATCATGATGAGCTTGGTGAAAACTTTGAAACAGAGGTAGATGAACAAGTTTTTGCTGAAGTTACTACAGACACTGCTGAAGGTAACTTGAAACGGCTGTTCCTAACCAGACAACTTTCAAATGCCCAGCCATGACTTTGACAGTTTTTGTACACATGCATCATTATATTCCTATGTGTTAAGCAAATATAAGATTTAAATATGTTATATTGCAGAAAACATTTATGCCCTTGTCAATTTGTATGAATAAATGTTCCAATGACAGAAATTCTTATTATTTTTTTCAATATTCTATATTTGATGTTATATATTTGTCTACATTATTGTCTAACTGTCCTTCAACTCTCCTGGATGACTGATGCTTGGTCTTTCAGAATTCACATGCAAACCCTGGGAGAAAAAAGGCCAACTTTAAGATTTTTTTAAGTCAGAGGTCAAGGCCACAAAGAATAATTGGCATAACTAAGATTGTTTTAAAACAATTTATATTTTCTTTGAAAAAGTAACAAAATAGTAACAAAACAATGTAAAAATAAAAAGTATGTAACACATTCCTTGTTGCATAAATAATAACAAAGGTCAGACAAACTGATAAGTACAATGCCTACATTTTTTGCTTTGAAATATGTACTCAATACAGTTCAAACTGATTATAAAGTAATATCAAAACCTTGATATTTGCACCATTGTGTAAACAAAAACTTTGAAACATGAAGAGCAAAATAATTAACATTGTCAACTTAAAATGTCCCTCTTATTACAGATATATATTTCTACTTCTTTGCAGCTGCAGCTACATCTGCAAGTTTGCCGATAATATTGGTAAGCCCTGGGAGCATTTTCATGTGCTCTTTGTGCATGGTTTCTGTTCGTCGTTTCTCCTCTTCCTCTTTCTTTCTGTCCTCTTCTTCCCGTTTCTCTGTATAGCATTTTAAGAAATCTATCAACTGAGATGCACCTGTTGTGGGATGATATTTCCTTTTTCTTCTCCCTGCCTTCCCTTCATTAATCTGCTTTTCATTATCTTTACTTGATTCTGATTCAGTATTGGTCACACTTTCACTGCTACTACTTGTACTAGGACTTGGTTCTTTAGCTCTGCTCCTGTGGGTTGTAAGTGTAGAGGTACTTGTTGAACTACTTTCAACAACAAAAGCTGGGGTTGTAGAGTGCGAATTTCCAAAGATATCATCCATTTCGGAGGCAAATTCGTATTCCTTTCGCTCAGTGCCTGTTCTTTTCTTGGCATCCTTGTACTTTCTGTACGACGAAAGCATTGTTTTGAATCTTCCTTCGACTTGCTGGCTGGTGAATGTTGATTGCGTTTCTGTATTGATCACTTGGCAAATCTCCCTCCATAAAGTTTTCTTCTTCTGTGTTGGGCTATTGAATTGCAAATATCTCTCTATATTCATGTAGAAGAACTTTTGATCTCTCTTTGGTCCAGGAATTAGTTGGAGTGATAGCCTCTCCACTCGGTTTTGGATCCCCTACAAAATTGAAGAAAATTAGAGAAACTTAGCAACACATAATTCAGTAGTGCTCAATCATATATACCGGTAGATGTAGTATTATAACAACACTGGAGAACTTATTTCACAGATTAAGAGGAATGCATGTAAGTTGTCATTGTTTAGCATATGAAATGTAGTAATAAAACGCTACTTCCTTGGCGGCATGGCCTATATTTTATCCATATTTGAAATTGATTGTAATTATGATCAAAGAAATATTTATTTTTATAATATTAAATTACGTTTAAAAAAGGTTTTTAAAAAAATGTTAATTTTCATTGTTTTGTACCTATTATATTTACATATTATATAATATATCTACAACATACATACCAATTTCGTTTTCCTCGGATTCTTCTTGTTCCTGTCCTGCTACTAAATTTAATACGAATTCAATTGTATTGGGATCTAAAAATAAAAACCGCATTCACATTATAAACAGAAAAGAAATTAATATAATTAGACATTTTTAAACGGATAGAAAAGTTCTTCTACCTTGATTTTAATGATGGACACAATATTTACCATTATTCTGAAGGTTCTCGAGAGTCTTATCATCCAGTTGTAAAAGAACATTTTTTCCATCGTCCGTTGTGAATGATACTGTGTTTGTTCCCGATGCTTCTTGATTGTTACTACACAACAGAAAAAAATGCTACTTAAGAGAAAGTATCCTTCAAACATTATCACAAATACTTTTTGCAACTTTATTTTGCTTCTAATTTGGTTTATTTACAATAAAAAAAGATTTCAGAGTTTTCACCCACCTGTTCGCCGCCATACCGGAATGCTTCGTCTAAATAAACCTTCCCTCTCTAACGCGGGAGGCTGGGAAGGCCTTCTTAGTCTAACCTTCCGAACCAATCGAGCGGAAAGAATGATTATTCCGGAATAAGAAGGGTCCCAATCGAGTGGGCCCCAGGGTCAGGGGTTCTGGTGTTAGGGCGGGGCTCTATTGATTCTATAGTGAAAATACATGAATTCTTTGAAAATATTCTTCTCTGCTCCTGGGTATTAAATAAACTAACTAAGTACATAGTTATGATGAGCAAGAGTTCCTCTACCAAAATTGTAAATTTCATGGCCCCAGGGTCAGAGGTTCTTGTTTTAGGGCGGGGCTCTATTGATTATATAGTGAAATGCATGAATTCGTGAACATCTTATCCTTTGCTCCTGGTCAATATACTAATGATCTAATTACATATTTAAGGCTAGGATTTATTTTATTTTCAGTTTTACAAACCCTCCATTCAAGGTTTTGAATTTTCAGAAAAAAATAAAACAATTTTTTCTTTCCGATGTCAAATTTGAGTCGGGATCGAGATTTCAAATTTACGAACTCGCACTTCCGGTTTTAAGATGAAACGGCGGGTAAATAAAGCTAGATCTGAGAAGATAGCTTGGTTTAGTGTAAAATTCATCGATACGAGTGCCATTCAAAACGTTTCACCCGTTCAAAGGACAAATAAAATGCTGAAGACTTTGTTGCACAATGACATGCTGGTGAGATAATTATGTATTCGTTTCAAAAGTATCTGTCTGTAAATTATTTTCCTCCCCAAGGTTTTAAACTGCCCGTGGTAGCTATTACATATTGCCAGCGACATTGTTTAGGTCTCTGTTATAGCTTACAGTCTAAGCATCGTGTGTCCAGTGGTAAGGAGCCTATTAGAATAGCAAAAAAAAAGAATGTACAAATGTTATTAATTGATTTATCAAAATTTTTTTTTTATTTCCTTCTCCTTCGGGACTTTTTTTTCTCATGTTCATAACTAAACCTAAACATAAAAAAGAAATGCTGGCCTTATAATGAAGAAAGGGGCCTCTTTCAAAATAGATAACTTCGGGGCCCCTGGGTCAGGGGTACCAGGGGGGTACTTTGACTATAAATAAATTAATGCTTTGAAATCTGCCCTTTGATAAGCAATGGTGCCTCCTTCAAAATTTGTGAATTTCATGGCTTTTGGATTAAAACACGAACCAAATACAATCGCTGGAAAGTTGTTACATGATACTCAGGTGACATATAAGGCCCGTGGGCCTCTTGTTAAAATAATGCTTCATTTATCACTCAAATATGAGCGAAATGGGTTTTCATTTAATTTTTCATCATTAGTTTCACACTCAACGATTACATAACATGAGAGTTAATTTTTTACCAACACGAGAGATCAGGGTTTCTCTAAAGTAAGGTTAGTCTTGTTCCCATCTGAGAGATAAGGGTTAGTCTTGTATTCACCCTAGAGATTAGGGTTAGTCTTCTAACTACCCGAGTTAAAGGTAAGTCTTTCAACCATTCTAGAGATTAGGGCTAGTCTTGTATCCACCCGGGAATTTAGAATTGTTTTTACTGACTCGATAAATTAGGGCCAAACAAGAACAGCTGAAGAAGTCTGTGAGCCAATGCTCACTAGTAATATCCCCGCTTTGATGTGAATATACACTATCATGTTAAAGTACAAAAGTTTAGTTTCAGGCAGATGCATGGATTAATATGAAGTTAATATTAAATTTATATACAAATAAATCCCACCATGTGACATGCCTCAACAAAGTATGTGCTAAGATTTCAAGCATCTGTAATGAGTAGTTGCTGAGAAAACTGCGACGAAAAACAGGTTTAAAAAAGGGGTAAAAACAGTATACACCCCACGGGCACTTGTTTCGTATACAGGGAGACCCTTATTTATTTTTACCACTAGGTACCTAACTTATCTTCAGGCACCCTCACTTCAAGCTTGTATTTTGTTAATATATCAGTCATTAACCTACTTTACAATGATATCACTCGCTTCAAGAGACTATTTTCTTGTCAATCAAATCGTTTCTGACGTCTCAGGTCGAACCTCTTTACTGTAATCTACTCATTTATTCCTGAATACATTTTAAGACTTTTATCGAGATACAAGTAACAGCTTTTCTAAAAGCTTGCCTGATTAATGCCATCAATATCTATAGAACCTATAAGCATGTTAAGTTATAAACGTTTACATTGGGGTGTAAATTATTTCACTAGAATAAATTATGAAGATGTTGCACAAAACATCATGCATTCATTTTAAGTTGTATGATACTCATCAGAGCAATAGAAAAAGAACACATTTTATATAAAGCATATATATTGTTCGTATCTCAAAATAGAAAATGAAATCATGTACATGTCCCGCTGTGGATTCGAACCCGCGACGTAAAGATGAACAATTCACTCCGCGAGTCTAAAAATGGTTTTAGAGGATAAAGTAAATAAGGGAAAAAACTAAATTAATGTAATTGACTAATGCTGCAAAGCATGGTTATAGCCTATATGTAAAGGTCACATAAATTAGATTCAACTGCATACAGCCTAGGCTTTGAGGAAGACAGTTGAAAATATGATAATTACAAGAAATTGGGAATCGTAACGGTTATGACTGACATGAAGGATATGTTCACTAGTTTCTTGGGTATGCCAGAGGATCAAAGATTGTTTGAAACATGTGATAAATAAGTTAAAGCCATATATGCTTAAATGACCCAACAAACTTGACGGCGATATATGAATGGCGACAGGCGCGGATTCAGGAAGTTTTTCCCCAGGGATGAGGGGTCCATATCAAAAATATTTGAACGAGCAAAAAAGTA